TATAAAAGAGATGTAAGGAGCAATTTTATCACACAGAGGGTGGTGCATGTATGGAATGAGCTGCCAGAGGAAGTGGTGGAGGCTGGTACAATTAAAAGGCATCTGGATGGGTACATGAATAGGAACGGTTTAGAGGGATCTGGGCCAAAAGCTGACAAATGGGACTAGGTTTATTTAGAATATCTCAACAGCATGGATGAGCTGGACCGAAGGACCTTTTTTCCACGTTGTACAACTCTCTGACTTTATGACCCCCTAAGTGGACTCTCCATTGATTTGCCTGGACATGAGCAAAATACTTGGGAGGTTCATCAAAAGGATACGTCAAAAGAAGATAGATATGCCAGAACTTAGTCAATGAGGACACACATCTGTTAATTACACGCCCATGGTCTATGTCCAGCCTGAGACTCACAGCTTGACATGATTTGTTTGCTTAATGCTAATTACACCACGGTCAGAGTGAGCATTTGAGCCAGCGTTTAGCATGCATTTATCATTATTTCTTTATTCTCTACTCTACAAAAGCACAAGACACTAATGGACCTTTTTTTATCCACTCTCAGTTTCAGGGAACTGCAGATCTGTGCAACAAATCTAGTGAACTCTGATCAAGTCAAACTGGGAAGTGCTGGAGTTAGGGGGTGGGAGAGGGAGAGGGCAGAGTTACAGGCCCTGCTATACTGGAGCAGATGGACCATTCAGATTCACAACTGATTGTCAAAGAAGCGGCAGAGATGACTCATAATGTAATGTGGGAGTGAAGGTCAGATGTGGGGATTATGGGGTGGCTGTAAAGGATGTTTCAGGCATGGCCGTGTAAACTTGTTTCTTTTTCCTGAACCAACATGGCAGGTAACATACTGCTAGCGTGTTATGACCATTTTGATCTGTTCATGGAATGTGGGCATTGCTATCTGGTCAGCATTTACAGCTTGTCCTTAACTGCCAAGGGGGCAGCTAAGAGTAAACCACATTGCAGAGGGTCTGGAGTCACATGTAGGCCAGACCAGGTAAGGACATTAGTGACCCAGATGGATTTTTCCTGACAATGGATTCATGGCCATCATTAGACTCTTAATTTCAGATCTTTACTGAATTCAAATTCCACCATCTGCCATGGCGGGATTTGAACCTGGGTGCTCAGAACATTACTGGGGTCTCCGGATTAATCGTCCAGCAATAATACCACCAGGCCATTGCCTCCTACAGCTCTGATAGCCCAAAGTTGCACAATTAAATTCCTAGACCTAGGCAGGTTATACACATCATTGGCCTATGTACAGTGGTGCAGCAGTGTGTATTGTTCACACAATGACCACAGCAACCTGTCAATGCTCCTTTAACAACATCCCCGAAACCCTTCACCACTTAGACAGTGCACCACCATCTGCACATCCTGCTCAAAGTCACTCACTTGGCATCACTGCTCCTTCACTGTCGCTGGGTTCACTGGAGAACGTGTGCGCAGGAAAACCTGATTTACAATTAGCACGTGCTGTTGTAATGTACCAGTTGCAAATGAGCCAGGAGTTTTTTTTTCCACATCATTTCCACCCAATGTTATGGCTCAATCTGGGCAGAATCACATCAAGTGGTGCAAGAAGAATTTTTAAACCTGAGTCATGTCTGGTAATTATATTTTAACTGTGTTAAATTGTGAGCAGGTGCTGGGCAATCATTTGTGCCCCGTGTAAGGGCTCTTGTGGTGGAGGGGGCTGGTACAATTACAACATTTAAAAGGCATCTGGATGGGTATATGAAAAGGAAGGGTTTAGAGGGACATGGGCAAATGCTGGCAAATGGGACCAGAGTAATTTACAATATCTGGCTGATATAGACAAGGTGGACTGAAGGGTCTGTTTCCATGCTGTACAACTCTATGACCTGAAGTTCTACCTTCTCCTGAGATCTGTAATAACATCTCTGAACAGACAAAAGAAAATGCTTGTGCCATATAAAAAAGAACGGAATAAAACTGGTGGCTGGGTTAGAAGATGTAATGTGTAACACTGTAAATAAATGTTCGCAAAAATTGATTCCAGTTCTATCCTTCAATACTTGGCTTTATGGAGTACAAGTGGGTCCTTAAACCAGGATACACCTGCGTCTTTTGAGCTAGTTCAATCTGAATCAATCCTCACCCAGAAGTAGATGGGCCCCCACACTCCCTGGCACTGGAAAGACCTGGTTATTGCACTTGTTTGGAGGGAGCACCAAGTTCCCAGTTGCACAACCTCCGTGGTCACATCAATCCAGCGTGAATCACCAGGCCAGGAGCCAATGGAAGACTCACGGCTGTCCTGCAGAAATCATCAAAAAGTTGCAAATGATGTTTCACAGGTGTGAGCCAGAATGTGCCGGGTTTTCTTCCCCATTGGGAATGCCTGTCAATTTGCTATCACTCCAAGATGACTTCATGCCTTTATGCCCAAGTTACATACTTAACGTGACTTCTTCGCAACACAGAGGTTTTGTATGCTTTGCATGTCCATGCTACACCTTTACTGCACGTGGCACATTAATCAACAGTCATATGATAATCCACGGTCGTATCCTGAACTGGGAGCACTCATTGTGGTTTAGAATCATGGTGGAACAGACTACAGTTCCAGCTGTGTGACAGTAAAGACACCCCCTCCCCAACGTTTCATAACCAGACAAAAACCAAAAGAACTGTGGATGCTGTAAACCAGAAACAAAAACTGAAGTTGCTGGAAAAGCTCAGCAGGTCTGGCAGCATCTGTGAAGAAAAAAAATCAGAGCTAACATTTCGGGACCCTGGTTCTGAGGAAGGGTCACCGGACCCAAAACATTAACTCTGACTTTTTTCTTCACAGATACTGCCAGACCTGCTGAGCTTTTCCAGCAACTTCAGTTTATATTTCACAAACAGATCTTCAGTGACCATTAGCATTATTAAGTGTTGTTGTATCTTTGCATACCGCTTGAATCTGTCTAAACAGACGCTTGAACAAAGCACAAAGTCTCCCAATGTTTAATTTCCAATCCCTCTCTCCATAGCTTCAAGCACAGATGTATAACATTTCATTCCTATTATGCAAAAATCCTGATCCATTCATTGGATTCCAAATGCTGAATTCTCATTCTGCCATTGGCCCCATCCAAGAAAAACATTTATTTGCAAATGCAAGTGTGTCTTTGCTCAGCTGTACTGTTGAAACTCATAAAAAATGTCTGTTTCTTATTGGGACTCATATCCTTACAAAGGCTGCACTGTACACACTAATGTTTTCTATCAGCCTATCTCTAGCCCCTGTGGCTTTGCTTGTAAAGGATATAAGCCACTGATTTTATTTCTGTTTCGTTACAATAGTGAGTCATTCAACCTCACAGTCAACGTCAGCACATGTGTAGATTGTAATTAACTTGGGCACTGTAATTACATCATCTTTCGAGACCTGGCAGCTTGTCTAAGAATTACAAAATGATAAGCAAACTGCAAAGTGTGAACGTCAGGAGTGTGCTCGGATACTCTCCACTAACCTCCTGGCTGAGTATCACACCAATTCATGCAGGATGAAGCAGCCCACCTGCTCAGTGAACCACCCCCAACCTTAACCATCCACTCCTTCCAGCACAGAACCTCATCCGCAGCATTGTCTACACTGCGGCCCCACGGACTGTACCTCCAAAACTCGTAACTCTGACAAATTGGAGCCAGTTGCAAGTTCTCCTCCATGCCATACATCCTCTGATGCCCAAGACCGCAAGAAATTACAGAGATGTGAACACAGCAGAGTCCATCACAAAAACCAGCCTTCCATCCACATCTACACTTCCCACTGCCTGGGGAATGCAGCCAATACAATTAAAGACCCCTCCCATCTTCTTCCATCAGGCAGAAGATACAAAAGTTTGAGAACACATACCAACAGATTTAAGAACAGCTTCTTCCCCACTATTATCAGACTTATGAATGGACCTCTTATGTATTAGAATTGATCTTTCTCTGCACCTTCTCTGTAGCTGTAACATTATATTCTGCATTCTGTTCTATTACCTCAATGTACTTATGTGAGGTATGATTTGTCTGGTTAGCAGGCAAAACAATACTTTTCACTGTATCTCGGTATATTTGACAATAATAAATCAAATCAAATCAATATTGCTGTTCCTTCTTAATCACTAGGTCACTCCCCCACTCCTAAACAGCAGTGGGCCTACACCACATGGATTTCAGCAGTTCCAACATCTTCTCAAGGGGAAAAATCAGAAGCCACGTGATCCCAGGTTACAGTCCAACAGGTTTATTTGAAATCACAAGCTTTCGGGCTCATCAGGTGTCGTGTGACTTCAGACTTTGTTCACCCCAGTCCAACACCGGCACCTCTACATCATGGCTTCTCATGGGCCAGTGACGCCCACATGCCATGAAGTAACTTAAAAATTATGAACAGTGGTTGAAAAGGTTGGGTCTTTACCCATTTAAATCTAGATGAATGAGAGATGGCCTCATTGAAACGTTTAGGGTTCCAAAGAGACAGAGTGGATGCTGGGAGGTTGTTTCTTCTTGTAGGAGAGACTAGACTTAGAGAGCACAGTCTATTAATAAGAGGATCATTTTTAAGAAATTGCTTTTCCATCAGAAGGTGGTAAAGCCATGGAATTGTCTCACCGAGAAAACAATTGGGTTATTGAATTTATTCAGGGCTGTTTTAGACAGATATTTGACCAATGAGGGAGGGTTCTGAGGGGTCAGTAGTAAAATGGAGCTGGGATTAAAACCACCATTGAATGGTGCAGCAGGTCTGATGGGCCAAAGGACCTACTCCTGCACCTAAATCCCACATCAGACACTTTTCTCTCAAAGCATCATCAATAAAAGCACCAATAAATTACAAACGCAGCTTGATATTTTGCAATGCACTTTCCCTTTCCTCTTTTGGTTCTCAAAATCTTTCATAAAATTTGTTTCAATTTGATTTAAATCTAGCATTTCAGATCAAACAGCTGAGAAAAATGGAGAAAATCTTTACCGGCCTACCCATCTTGCCCCTCTTCCCTGCTTCTCCTGGTATTCCCTGTAAAATTAGAGAAGAGAACACGTACGTTAGACCACTGCAATGTAGTAAACTTTACTCAGCAGAATTTTAAAATGTAAAAGGTTATTATCGTGTGGTTACAAAGTGTCATAGACAGGCACGTGCCTTTAGTTTTCTTTGGATAGATATGACAGCAGTGCAGAGCATCACAGGCAGAGTGCGCTCTATGATCAGATTCTCAGATTAGATTTTCCGACAAACCTTCACTGGTTATTTTTGAAACAGATGTCAAAAATCCGCTATTGTCCTAACCAAAAGCTGCAAGTCATGTTTAACAATAACTTCCATTGCCTTTAATGCAACAAAACATCTCAACTCACTTCTTAACAGCAATCCAAAACACAGTACGATACTGAGTTGCAGAAGGAGAGATTACAGTAGATGACCAAAATGTTGGTTTTAATAATTTTCTGAATGGAGGATTTTAAGGTAAAAAGGCAAATGTTGTAGGGTTACTGAAGGCTTGGTCACCAAAAGTGGAACAGCAAATACTGGGAACCTCATGTGAAGGAGTGCTGGTATCTTAGGAAATGTTTCTTAAATTAAATGCACTGCAAAATATGTGCAAATTCATCGCAATAATTCCATTACAATAACCTGCAATAGATGCAGCGTTGTAGCCAGTAATGACAGCTCAATTCGGGCTCCTGTGGCACAGCGGTAGTGTCCGTACCTCTGGACCAGGAGGCTCCTGGTTCAAGTTGCACCTGCTCCAGAGGTGTGCAGTAACATTTCTGAATAAGTTGATTAGGAAAATATCAACGGTTCAATGAATTAACTTGTCTGTAAGCATGAGCAGATTACTCTACAGTGCAACAGCACTGAGATACTAATATTAACCCATTCCCATCATAGTCTATGCTTCGCTAATGAAGAGAGCAGAACATTGACACTAAAGTCATAACATAGAGATGATGAATTAAGCAACAAGCATATGCTTTAATGAGAAATATGTCATTTTAAACCATGAGTACTGGATAAAATATAATTATACCACGTCTGTAATCACACCAGTAAAATGTTGGTATCATATTTAAGAACCTTTCGCTGATCCAAAAGAATTCCTTAGTTTATCTTTCCAGTAAACTCCTAGAATGTCAAATATAACAGTCGCCAGATGTACACTCTTTAAGAACAATAAAGACGAGTTATGCTTCCATGAGGACAAGAACTTGGAAACAAGCCAAACTGCAGTGGCTCATTGATTCCTTCAGTACACTAATTTGCAACATCCATTTGACATGCCTTACTGATGTGCATGCTTCTATAGCTGTAAACCGTCTCTTGAGGTGAATTAAAATTGGAAATCATTCGCACTGTTTTAGATCAGTTATAGTTTGAGAGTTAGTGGGAAGAGGAGGAGGCCATTCAGCCCATGTTCAAGCTCCCGTTCAGCACTATTATAGAGCCATAAACACACAAACAGACCCTTCGGTCCAACCAGTCCATGCTGACCACGTTCCCAAACAAAACTAGTCCCACCTGCCTGTTCCTGACCCACATCCCTCCAAACCTTTCCTGTTCGTGTACTTATCGAAGTGCCTTTTAAATGTTGTAACTATGCCGACATCCACCACTTCTTCAGCAAGTTCATTCCACACACGAACCACCCTCTGTGTAAAAAAACGTTGCCCTCATGCCTTTTTCAAATTCTCTCCTCTCACCTTAAAAATATGCCCCCTGGTCTTGAGGAGATAACAAGAACTGCAGATGGTGGAGTCAGAGTTGATATAGTGTGGAGCTAGAGGAACACAGCAGGTCCCAAGATGCAGCGTTCCACTCCCAGACTTCCCAGATGTGCTCCTACTTCAAGGGCCACAACTTTCCTCCCTCTGGTGATCAAAAATACCCCCAACTGCATCTCTTGCATTTTCCGCACCTCTGCCCTCACATCCCCTCCCCCAACAAAAATAAAGACAGAATCCCTCTTGTCCTCACATACCATCCCACCAACCTCCGCATCCAGCGCATCATCCTCCTCCATTTCCACCTCCTACAATCTGACCCCATCACCAAACAGATGTTTCCCTCCCCACCCCTAACTTCCTTTCATAGGGACCACTCTCTCCACGACTCCCTCGTCCACTCCACACTCCCCACCAGCCCCACCACCTCCGGCACCTTTCCTTGCAACTGTAGGAAGTGCTTCACCTGCCCCTACACCTCCCCCCTCACCTTCAAACAAGGCCCAAAGTAAACCTTCCATATCCAACAGGGATTCATCTGTACATCCTCCAACCTGGTCTACTGTATCCATTGCACCCGATGTGGCCTCCTCTACATCAGTGAGACCAAACATAGACTCAGCGACAGATTTGTATAGCCTCTGTACTCTGTACGTGATAATCAACAACACCTTCCAGTCGCTAACTATTTTAACTTCCCCTCCCACTCCCTGGGTGACATGTCCATCCTGGGCCTCCTCTAGTGCTACAATGATGCCACAAGGAGGAACAACACCTCATATTCTGCCTCGGGAGCCTACAGTCCGAAGGCCTAAACGTAGAATTCACCAGTTTCAAAATCTGCCCACACCCTGGCTTCATCCCATGTCCAATCCTCCCTCTTATCCCCGACTCCTTCACCTGGCATTACCTGTCCATCTCCTTCCCCATCTAACCACCCCTCCCATCCCACCGACCAATCCCCAATACCCCCTACCTGCATCCACCTATCACCATCCCATCTACCTTCTCCCAGCCCCACCCCTCTTCCCTCTATTTATTTCCCAGCTCCCTTCCACCTCCCTAGGTCTGGTGAAGGGTCTAGGCCCAAAACGTCGACTCTCCTGTTCCCCTGCTGCTGCCTGGCCTGCTGCGTTCCCCCTACTCTTGGAGTCCCCCAATCTTGGGAAAAAGACACCTACCATTTACCCGATACCGCTATACCGCATGATTTTATAAAACTCTATAAGGTCACTCCCCAACCTCCTATGCTCCAGTCCGGCAACATTCTGGTAAATCTTCTTTGAACCCTCTCCAACTTGATAATATCCTTCCTCTAACAGGGCAACCAGAACTGGACACAGTACTTCAGAATGGGCCTCACCAATGTCCTGTACAATCTCAACATCACCTCCCAACTCTTATACTCAAAGGACTGAGCAGTGAAGACAAGCGTGCTAAATGCCTTTTTAACCATCCTGTCTATATGTGACACAAACATCAGAGACTTATGTACCTTAGGTCCATCTGTTCTACAACATTACCCAGGGCCCTGGGATTTATTGTATAAGTCCTGCGTCTGTCTGTTTCTGTACAGTTATGACTGACCTGCTACCTAATTCCAATTACGTGCTGAAACTACTATTGTCCGCAACTCACAGCAATGATTTAGATGATCTGGACGCTGGAATAAAAAATAAAAGTTCTAACTTTGCAGTTGATACCAAATTGGTGGGGATTGTCAATACTGAGGTGGATATTTCTAAACTTTCAGATTTGGCAAATAATTGGCAAATAAAATCTGAAACATACAAATGGGAGGCAGTGCATTCTAGTGGGAAATAAATTGCAGTCACTGGTTACTTAGAAGGTCTGCATTTAGGTGGGGTAGATGGATCACAGCGGACAAATATATCGAATCACTAAAGGACATATTACAGCTCAGCAAATCTATGAAGCGGATCGACCATTGGATTTCTCTTTCTCTCGAGAGGAGTAGAACAGAAAAGCAGAGAAGCTAAGCTAAACTTGCATCACTCGTAAATATAAAATTGACACAGACACTGCAGAGGGTCTGCAGAAGATTTCGGAGGATGATACTAGATATGTGTGGGTTTACAAATCAGGAAAGGATCGACAGGTTAGCCCTCATCTCAGCAAAAAAAAAAACGCCGATAGGGCGACCTATTTAAAATAATGTAAGGTTCTGATCGAGTGGGCACAGAGGGAATGTTTCCCTTGAGGGGAAGAGGATAACAATAGGCTGTCAGTAATAAGGTAATCACCAAGAAATCCAATAATGAAATCAGATCAAACTTCTTCATCCAAACAGTGGTAAGGATGTGGAATCAGCTACCACTGAATAAATGAATGAGTGAATAAATGAATGAGTGAATAAATGAATGAGTGAATAAATGAATGAATTAATGACTTTTATTGTCACGTACATCTAGGAAGATACAGTGAAAAGTGTTTTTTTTCTGGGAGTGGCTGCACTCAATATTGAAGCTACATTTAAAGGGAAGCTAGACAATGAGGTAAGGGAGAAGGGAGTAGAGGGTTACGGTGGCAAATTTGGGTCGGGAAAGACGGGATGAGGCTCGAGTGGTGCATAAACACCAGCATGGAGTGGTTGGGCTGAATGGCCTGTTTCTGGACCATAAATCTTACTTGTTCTTACTGTCTTCCAGCCGCAGGGAGTAGGTTACACTCATCTAGGGACATGGCCTGTTCGCCTGAGTTGGCAAACGCAATCAGCTCTCAGCTCAGCTGCTAGAGAAGCCCTCACTGGGTAAGAAATAGGTGATGCTTTTTGAAGGAAGGAAGGACCTTGCTGTTAACAGTCTCTGTCCCGATGAAATCCACTTGATCCACAACGTCACCACCCAGGGAGAGGCAGAAAGAGATCTGTGGCAGGTTGAACTTGTTCTCCCAACGAGACGATGGTTCCAAACAGTATTCTGTTCATCAAAAGATCACCAAGCAAATGTTAAAAGGGACAGGGGTCAAGGAATCTGCTAGGGACTCCAGGGAATGGGTGCACACCGTGTGCCCAAACGGGACCATAAGGAACTTCAGAGGACAAGGACGTTGTTGTAGGAGGAGGTCAATGAAGTGTGGAGGGGGGGTGGGGTTTGCTGGTGACCACACTTGCAGGCTTTAGGCTGGGGTGGGGGATGGTGGTCTCACTGCCCTTGCTGGTTGGGGTGTGTAGGGTCTGATTTCTGGACTCCAGATGTCAAGGGGGAAACTGGGCGAGGGTTTATTCCACAGAGGATACCAGATCATCAATTCAGGGAGCCTGGAATTCCCGAGGGATCGGGCATCTAAGTAACGGGAAATTGGAGATACGTTAGGATAATCACAGTGGAGATGGCAGGCATTAGGACCCAGATGGACAAGGCCTTAAGGCCTGCTCCAAGCCTGGGTAAAGGACATCTCTTTGCGCTCGCTCAAGACGGTGAGTAACACACTGTGACTGACCATCAGGCAGCAAGGACACCCCATTCCCATGTTGACGAGCCTGATCCATATGATGTTTCTGCGACTGACCTGAGTTTTAACTGAGTAACTGGAGGCCCCAGTTGCTATTCTACCTGCTTTCGAAATGTTTCTTTCCAAACTTCAAAGGAGAAGGTCCAACTGGCAGGGTGCAGTGCCCAATTCCTTACGTACCATGTTCAGGAATTGGTCAACTGGGAAATGGTGGTGGGCGGGTAGACTCAGAAAAATGGAGGCAGGTGAGTAACTACAACTTCCCCAGTGACCATTAGCAACAATGCGCGTGCTCACCAAATATTACAAAGAGGCACAAAGGGCGTCCTAGGCTCAGTCTCCCACTCGCTATCTGAGGTATGAGGCCAATCGGGTGTCTGAGGGAACAAAAGTAGCCAAAGTACAGGCAAATCCCTTAAAATACAAGGCACCTGGTCATCCTGCCAGCTGATCCTGGAAAGCTTAGTGGCCTTACTTGACACAGACCTGCTCCATTTCCTGATGATCAGGTCCTTGTTGGATGGCTGCCAGGAGACTACATTTATCATCTACATCTCACAACTTCCCATCCCATCTGGAATGGGATTTAACAGAGGCCTGGGGATTAATACAGTTGGCCTCATCTTGCAACTCAGACCAGTAATCACTCACCATAACCCTCCTGGGGCACTAATCCCAGCCTTTTATACAGCAACAATTTCAATGCAAGAATTAACAGTGTGGAAAGAGGCCATTCAGCCCATTGAATCCACACCAAAGAACTTTCCACCTAGACCTACTCCTCTGTCCCCACATTCCCCATGGCTAACTACCCAGCCTGCACATCCCTCGACACTACGGACAATTTAAGCATGGCCAATCCACCCTAACCTGCACAACTGGGGTAGCTCAGTGGTTAGCACTGCTGCCTCACAGTGGCAGGGACCCAGGCTCGGTTCCACCCTCGGTTTGCACATTCTCCCCATGTCTGCGTGGGTGTCCTCCCACAGTCCAAAGATGTGCAGACTAGGGGCATTGGCCTTGCTAAATTGCCTGTAGTGTTCAGCAATGTGTAGATTTGGTGAGTTGGGTCTGAGTGGGATGGTGTGGACATGTTGGGCCAAAGGGCCTGTTTCCACACTGTAGGGATTCTATGATCTTTGGTTTGAGAGAAGAAACCGCAGCACCCAGAGGAAACCTACACAGACACAGGGAGACCGTGCAAACTCCATACAGAGTGGCCTGAGGCTGGAACTGAACCCAGATCCCCAGCACTGTGAGGCAGCAGTGCTAACCACTGTGCCACCCCAGTTCAGTAGCTCAGTATATTAAATCTTAATAACTTCTACTCCTGTCTAAGCGATACTGAGGAAGAATCAACATGCACCACCACTTATACAAGGTGAGGAGATTAAATTTAGATTATGTCACTGTGACCTTGACATATGCGTGGTTATTCCACATCCATTACTTAAACCTTTGTTAAGGACCCCCAATTCAGTTAGTGGTGGTTCAAGAGACATAAATCAAGTTACTAAAAATGTGCTGACTTCTCATTTACATTTCTCCATTGGAGATTAAAGTATTAATGAGACATGAATTTTCTTCTTCAAAGTCCAGACAAAGAAAGACAAAGGTTGAGACTTTTTTTTACACTGAAACAAAAGCTGAGGAAATAACATTGTATAGTTTATACATTCCCATAAATGTGGCTGTTGAAACATTTACAACTTAAGGAAAATGAGTGCATTATGTCTAAAGCGCTGCTTGAAAGTATTTTATTAGCAGATGAGGTAACAAGGTATACAGCTGGATGAACACAGCAGGCCAAGCAGCATCAGAGGAGCAGGAAGGCTGACGTTTCGGGCCTAGAACCTTCTTCATTAGCAGATGCATTTTTTTTAATATACATAGCAGCAAATTGATTAAAAAAAAAATTTGGGGATGAAGTTTAGGCACTGAATACAGCTCACAACGAAATCAGAAAAACTTGGGAATAATGGAAATGGTTTGAACTCATCTCGTGTGAATCGCAGGTTAGTGTGCAAGTATAGCAAGTAATCAGGAAAGCTAATAAAATCTTATGCTATATTGTGAGGGGGGGACTGAATGTGGGAGTAGGGAGGTTATACCTCAGTTTTGCGGGGTATTAGTGAGATCACGCCTGACCACCATACTTATCGAGGGGCATTAACGAGCTGGAAGCAGTTTAGAGAATCCCTGGAGTGAGCAGATTGCCTTACGAGGAAAGGCTAGACAAGCTGGGCCTGTATCCTCTGGAGTTTAGAAGAGTCAGAGATGTCTTAGTTGAAACAGATAAGACCCTGAGAGGATTTGACCAGGTGAATGTGGAAACAACGTTTCCTCTTGTAGGAGAATCTTGTTTAAAAATAAGGGGCTAGCCTTTTGTTCAGTTCAGTTGTGGAACACGGGTGTCACTGCCTGGGTCAGCATTCATTACCCATCTCTAGTTGCCCCCTTGAGAAGGTGGTGGTGAGCTGCTTTCTTGAACCATTGCAGTCCATACTCTGTGGGTTGACCCACAATGCCCTTAGGGAGGGAATTCCAGGATTTTGACCCAGTGACACTGAGGGAATGGCAACAGATTTCCAAGTCAGGATGGAGAGTGGCTCGGAGGGGAACTTGCAGGGGATGGTGTTCCCATGTATCTGCTGCCCTTGTCCTTCTGGATGGAAGTGGTCGTGGGTTTGAAAGGTGCTGTCTGAGGATCTTTGGTGAATTTCTGCAGTGCATCTTGTAGACAGTACACGCTGCTGCTACTGAGCGTCGGTGGTGGAGGGAGTGGATGCTTGAGGATTTGGTGCCAATCAAAGGGGCTGCTGTGTCCTGGATGGTGTCAAGCATCTTGAGTGTTGTTGGGGATGCACCCATCCAGGCAAGTGGGGAGTATTCCATCACACTCCTGACTTGTGCCTTGTAGATGGTGGACAGGCTTTGAGGAGTCAGGAGGGGAGTTACTCGCTGCAGTATTCCCAGCTTCTGACCTGCTCTTGTAGCCACTGCGTTTATGTGGTGAGTCCAGTTGAGTTTCTGGTCAATGGTAACCCCGAGGTTGGTGATAGTGGGGGATTCAGTGATGGTAACACCATTGAATGTCAAGGGGCGATGGTTAGATTGTCTCTTATTGATGATGGTCATAGCCTGGCATTTGTGTGGCACGAATGTTACTTGCCACTTGTCAGCCCAAGCCTGGATATTGTCCAGATCTTGTTGCATGTGAACATGGCCTGCTTCATTATCTGAGGAGTCATGAATGGTACTAAACATTATGCAATCATAGGTGAGAGAGATCACAGGGCAGAGATAAAGAAAAAAAATTCTCTCAGAGGGCAAGACTTTGAATTTTTTTTTATTAATTCACAGGATGTGGGCATCACTGGCTAGGCAGCATTTATTGCCCATTCCTAATTGCCCAGAGGTTCAGTTAAGAGTCTTCTACTTTGCTGTGGGTCTGAACTCACATGTAGACCAGACCAGGTAAGGATGGCAGTTTCCTTCCCTGAAAGACATTAGTGAACCAGATGGGTTTTTCCAACAATCAGCAATGGATTCATGGTCATCAGGGGGGAATGATTTAAAAAGGATCTGAGGGGTAACTTTTTCACACAGAGGGTGGTGCATGTCTGGAATGAGCTGCCAGAGGAAGTGGTGGAGACTGGTACAATTACAACATTTAAAAGGCATCTGGATGGGCACACAAGTAGGGAGGGTTTAGAGTGATTTGGGCCAAATGCAGCTGGATTAATTTAGGATATCTGGTTGGCAGGGACAAGTTGGACCGAAGGGTCTGTTTCCATGCTGTACAACTCTTAATTCCAGACTTTTACTGTGTTCAAATTCCACCTTCTGTAGTGGCAGGATTTGAACCCAGGTCCCCAGCTCGTTACCTGTGTTTCAGAATTAACAGCCCAGTGATAATACCACTAGGCCGTCATTTCTCTTATCCCCCTTTAGAAAAAAGGATGAGAATTTTAAGGAAGCACTGCTTAATGGGTGCCAATGTCAAGCAGCAAGCAGAGCTAATACAGGAGTGGACCTCTGATGTGCATCAAGTGACAGGAGAGCAGAGTTCATGGATCTCAAGTTTATGGAGAGCAGCCTGGGGTACGTGGGAGCATTGAGCTTTGGAAGCAACATAGGCTTCCATGCGGTGGCAGGTGTGCTGAGACGGGGGCAGAGTCAGGCAATGTTACTGGTTTGGAAATCCAGGCAGTTGTAGCCATGTGCGAACACGAGGAGTCTGACCCACTGCCCTCGTTTCCTGGAACTGCCACTGGCCCTCAGCCGCAGGCGACAGAGCGGATACACGAGTGAGAATCCAAATGATGGGAAGAGGCACATTGCACAGCTAAAATTGCTCAAAGCAATGATTATACCACCAGAGAAATATCATGGGCAGTCTCTCTCGTGGGAATGTCACGAGAAACGTTCAACCATTGACACTGCTTCCTACTGGATATCCTTCCAATTTGGGGAACGCGAGACAAATACACTGAAAAAAAAACGTAGAGAAATAAAGACTTACTTGCTTTCCGTCTGCTCCTGGAAGACCGATTAATCCACGTGGGCCTATGAAGCCCTGTAGAAAGAGGAGAGAAGTGCTATCAGTTGGTCTTGTGGGATCTCTGAGGTGTCAGTGCACTATGTGGTTCCATCGGTGCAGCGAGGTGTTGCAATTGATGAACAAAGCCTTGAAGCAAGTGTATATGCCCATGGACTGCATGGTGCTGGCTTCCACGATGTAGTCCAAGGGCACATACTCTCACACCAGGGATTGAGCTGGCTCGGGCACACACTGTCGCTAGAAACAAAAGTTACATGAGAGGCCCATCTTGTGCAATTATAGCAGGGCGTGATTAACAGCACTGACACAATTTCACACCCTCGACATTTCTGTTTTGGGTCAGATAAAGAGGTACGTTTGACAATGCAGCGTATATAATCTTTCTTTCAGGCTGAAGACAAAACATCATAGAATCCTTACAGTGTGGAAGCATGCCATTCAGCCCATCAACTTCACACCAGCCCCCCAAAGAAGAGGATCCCACCCAATCCCTGCATTTCCCACAGCTAATGCACCTAAACCACACTCCTTTAGACTGTGTTGAGGAAACTGGAGCACCCAAGGGGACCCATACAGATAGAGGGAGAACGTGCAAACTCCACCCAGACAGTCACCCAAAGGTGGGATTGAACCTGGGCACCTAGTATTGGAAGGTAGCAGTGCTAACCAGTGAGCCATTCCTAACACACAGGCCTCAGGCTGTTCTCCAGCCACACATTTAGAATGTTGCATTTCCACAACCTCTCCCTCCTACGTACTAACATGCAAATATTTGATAATGAATCTTTCCGTTGTTGTTTATTTAAATTCCAGCCTTTTCTTTTTCATTTGTGGAATGTGGATATTGCTGACTGAGCCAGCATTTATTGCCTATCCCTAACTGAGCCACCCGTGGGTTAGGAGTCACGTGTAAGCCAGACCAGGTAAGGATGGCAGATTTCCTTTCCTAAAGGATATTAGTGAAACCAGTTGGGGTTTTTTTTTGTACAACAATCGACAACAGTCCCAGGGTTCACATTACCATAACTTTTTATTTCTCAGTTTTAAGGATATTCAGATTTCACCATCTGCCTTGATGGGATTTGAACCCTTATTCCGAGAACAACGGCTTTTGTTGCTTTTAAAAGTTTCATCTTGTGCCTTTCATCTCAAGAAACAGTTTATTCCAGAAAGATTCTCTCAATCCATAAAGGACACTCGTGAACCGGATGGATTTTGCCCGTTGTCATTGAGACTTTTAATGGCAGATTTTTATTTGATTCAAATTCCACCATATGCTGTGATAGGATGCAAACCCAGGTCCCCAGAACATTACTTCAGTCTCTGGATTAGCAGTCAAGGATAATATCACTTGGCCATCACCAGACCCCCCCATCCCGCCCCTTGGAGGGCTTTGGAATGAACGACTGGAGCTAATGAGTGAAGCAGATGAGATGTTTAACCTCAGCTTAACACGCGCGTGAAGTGGACAATATGCCCACAGCAATGAATGTCAGGAAAACCCAAATGTTCGGCAAAGGGGCTCCTGGGAAACCCTGAGGCAGCAATGGAGCTGCAAATCGAAGGCACCAGGCCACTGTGAGCACCTTCGGCATGGAAACTTCCAGAAAGCTGAGCCGTCTGGGACAGCGGAAGGAACTAGTGGGAAGGAGCACAGAGAGAGAGACTCACTGTGCCAAGCAGCTTGCTGCTTTGAAATCATTTCTGTGCAATTCTGCACAGTGAAAAGAAAACAGGAGTAGTTGGGGAATGGTGGCACTGGTCCGAGCTGCAGGTCACTTTAAAGTGTACAGGACAAAGTGTAATTGGTTCTGGCATTTCCAAATTGTACAAGGTTTCCCTTCGTAGGGACGTGGGTTCACGGACAGGTCCAGCAGCAGATCATCATTGTTTAGTTACATATGGAGATACACTCTCACAAAGAATAGTCCCTCAGAGAAAAATAACGTGATCGGAGGAGAAAATCCATTTAAAGAACTCTAGTTAACATATTTGGGCAGCACGGTGGCTCACAGCGCCAGGGACCCGGGTTCGATTCCACCCTCAGGCCACTGTCTGTGTGGAGTTTGCACATTCTCCCCGCGTCTGCGTGGGTTTCCTCCGGGTGCTCCGGTTTCCTCCCACAGTCCATAGATGTGCAGGTTAGGGTGGATTGGCCGTACTAAATTGCCCACAGTGTCCAGGGATGTGCAGGCTGGGTGGATTAGCCACGGGGAATGCAGGGATGGGGTAGGGCGGCGGGTCTGGATGGGGCACTCTTCGGACAGTCAGTGTGGTCTCGATAGGACGAATGGCCTGCCTTCATGTAAAGGTGCCGATGAATTTCTAACTGACTGTTTGTTGCTTTAGCATGAACCAAATATTTCTTCTGTACTAATATTGGGCACTAATATTGAAAAATTTCACTGGCACCTTCGATGCCTATTTTTCTCGTGCACGAACCCATTCTTGAAGTAGGCAAGCAACCAATGAAACTGTCCCTCTGGATGACGTTTAAGGTGGAAAACGAGTTAAGTGAAGGAGAAAGGAGGATATGGAAGCAAATGGTGCCAGGGCTGCAGGACATGGAAGTAAGCTATCACGGATGTTGGAACTCTGAAATAAATCAGAGAGTGCTTGAGAAACTTAGCAGGTCTAACTGCACCTATGGATAGAGAAATGGAGTTAAACTTTCGAGTCTGGTATGACTCTTCAGAACTGAGTTGTTTTGAAGGAGAGTCAGATGGGCCTTGAAACATTACTTTTGTCTGCTTCCAAAGAGGTTAAACCATAAAAGCAAAAGTAAGTAAAGAAAGGTCAGAGAGAAATTTAATGGAAGTAGAAAACATTAGCTGAGTTCGAGACCAGAGACAATATTGTAAATGAAGATAAAAAAGAGCTGAAGAAATTCAGCAGGTTTGGCAGCTTCTTGGTGCAAGAAACTGAATGGATATTCCTTTCTGTTTTTATTACAGAACTAGTGGGAAGGAACACTGAGAGAGAGAGAGAGAGAGAGAGAGACTCACTATGTCAAACAGCTTGCTGCTTTGAAATCATTTCTGTGTAATTCTGCACAATCATTTCAGCTAACAATATCTCTTGTGACAATATAAACTTCACAACTTTAATAACTTCATGGATTGAAAGAATCTTTCTGGAATAAACTGTTTCTCAAGATAAAAGGGGCAAGGAGAAACTGTTATAAAGGAATTAAAAGTCACATGCTCATTAACCATCCCTAGGAAGAACAAGTTAAAGGAACATAAACAAGCTGTTTCCTGGGAGAGAAGAGATAACAACTGCGTGATAAACTGCTGCCTTGTGACAAATAGGCAATTTAGTTGCCTGCAGAAGGAATGTTCTGAAATAAAGGGATTAATCACAGGAAGTTGTATTTCAAACAGACAGCTAACCCCGAATGTAACAAGGAGCAGGGGAGCTCCTTCTGATAAGAAGGCAAGTTACAGACTTGAGGTCTCCAGAAATGTAATCAATGTTGGGGATGAAAGCATCCATGGAACCATCAATAATGTCATACCTCAAGCTTGAAAGAGTGGAATTTGTATAAGAATCCAACACCAGAACAAGTCAGTAGAAGAACTTTGAAAAACAACACTGCATAAGGATCGAATCCTGGACACTTCCAGAGACAGACACTGTCGGTAAAATCCTGGCCAGATTCCACCATTAATCAGGTAATAGTCAAGTTGGGTTGTGAGGCTCAACATTCTGACTTGTGGGGTCTTACTTTGGTTACTACATGCAATAAAGTTTAAATCATTGCTTCAGTACTTGATTGTCTGTAAGATTTCTTAATAAACAGCTCCTATGATGCTGCTTGGCCTGCTGTGTTCATCCAGCCCTGCACCTTGTTGTCTTGAATTAAAGGTAACTTGTGGTGATTTACTTGCAGACATTCCAACATTGCCCTACGCACTTGTGTCATCTAACTATGTGGACGTGAACATTCCTTGCACATCCACCTCTCTAAGTCAACAATCCCATTCATCGAACACTCATTCTAAAATAGCCCAGCTCTTGACTTGCAAATCAAATCTCAACTGGCCTCTGACAGGAATAGGTTTGAGGTGTGGAGTTATACTATGAGACTAGCACCAACTCACTTTATTCGTGACCCAGGACAGCTTTCTAGAACAGCCAGCTACCGTTGGAAGACCTGTATTTCTAACAGGTCTAGAACAGGAATTCTGTACAGAAGAAATACCTCCTATGGGGCAAACCAACAAACTGATCATTAGGAATTCAGAATTGAAAATATCCTGAAGAATTTCATATACAAAGAATCACGTTCTTTAACCAGTATCCATTCTGACTGAAACAAAAACAGAAATATCTGGAGATATTTCATGGTCCATGAAGAGGAATTAGAGCCAGTGTTTCGAGACTGAAGAAGGGTCACTGGACTCGAAATTTTAGCTCTGTTTCACTCTCCACAGGTGCTGCCAGACCTACTGAGTTCCTCCAGCAATTTCTGCTTTTGTTTCAGATCTTTAGCATCTGCAATTCTTTCATTTATTGTATCCATTTGGTCTGGCTGCTTTCTCAAGGCTAATTTGTATTGCTTTCAGATCATGTGCCAAAAACTTTCAAATCCAGCCTCAAATTAGGTGGTCAAATTTCACACAATGTGTGCTTTGTATGGGCATGGAGCAAGTCATTGCAATTCACATTCAATCCCAGCTACCATCAGTCCTGAAGACAGATCACTGGACCTGAAATGTTAACTCTGCTTTCTCTCCACAGATGTTGCCAGACCCGCTGAGATTTTACGGCAATTTCTGTTTCTGATTTCCAGCGTTCGCAGTTCTTTCGGGTTTTTATTGCAATTCGCATGCCTGTCCTGATGTTAAATGAAACACTCGGCTACCAGGCTTCCCAAACTGAGCGTCACGGTCCCCGGAGAGAGCGGCCCAAAATGAGATTTTGAGGTTGGGAGCTCAGATGCATCAGTGGTTTCTGTAGTGCTTTCACTGAGCGTTAATGAGTGCTAGGCCCCTTTAAATTCTTACCTCTTC